GAGAAGGGGGCACTAGCTGCGCCCCCTCCCCGGCAGACCAGGGAGACGCGGAGCAAAGCCGCGGAGGATGCCCGCAGCGGGACAGCTCAGACGTGCCGCGGCTGTCCCGCTGCGGGCGTCCTCCGAGGCTTTGCTCGCCGTCTCCCTGGTCTGCTGGTCATTGCAGGAGGAATACCAGCTAATTCGAGTTATGGCTTTAAATCGCACTCCCGTTTCACTGCCGTGTGTAGACGCGGGCAGTTACTCTGGACTAGTGAATTTCTAAAATAGCGACCAGCCGGGAACATGCAAATCAAGCGCACGATATTTAAATCCCGGGCTTGATTTGCAATTTTGGTATGCTTCATTTGTCTTCCTACTTTGAAGTAGGAGGCAAGTGTAGCCATACTCTGAATTAAACGTTTTCCGATATTGGTTTCTCTCTTTCTCCTCTCTCTTTGGATACATGAGGGCTATTGGTTTAGTTCTGCATTGCTATGCTGGCACCTAATATAGTTATTGAGAATGTAATTCAGCAAATACTAAAGATTATACTTAGTTCAGCAAACACTTTTTGTTTTGATTCTATTTTCTCTGGTTTTAATAAAACTTGATTTTGGTTAGGATTACTTTTGTCAGGGTAATTTTACATTTTAAAGGAGATGAGTGTGTTGATTTGGGACCCCATTCAGACTATCGCCTGATATGCTGAGACCCCAGTGACTCTCCTTCCTCTTACAGTCTGGGCAACCTGTAACCTTGTCTTGTTGAGCTTATCTCTCCAGACTGCTTCAGCTGAAACACAAGCTTGGCTGTGTCTACACTGGCATCCCTTCCGGAAAAGGGATGCTAATGTAGCACTTTGGAATAGGCAAATCCGCGGGGGATTTAAATATTCCCCACAGTATTTGCATTAACATGGGTGCCGCTTTTTTCCGGCTTGGAGATAAGCCGGAGAAAAGCGCCAGTGTAGACGTGATTCTTCGGAAAATAAAGCCTTTTCCGGAGGATCTCTTATTCCTACTTTCAAGTTGGCACCAGGGCTGACTGCAGGTGTGGGTTCCTGCAAAATTATGATGGAGGTGTGTGCTGTGTGGTTGCTGGAAAAAAATTGTTTGAGGTTAGGGGGTTGTCTATAGGTGAGGACTGGCCTTTTCCCCAAGACCTCTGAGAGTGAGGAGTCATTTTCCAGGTTAGGTTGTAGATTGTTGATAATGCGTTGGAGGGGTTTAAGTTGTGGACTGTAGGTGATGACCAGTGAAATTCTGTTGTTTTCTCTTTTGGGCCTGTCTTGAAGTAGCCTGTCTTAAAACTAATAAAAGAAAGTTCTTCTTCACACAGCACGTAGTCAACCTGTGGAACTCCTTGCCAGAGGAGGCTGTGAAGGCTAGGACTATAATAGAGTTTAAAGAGAAGCTAGATAATTTCATGGAGGTTAGGTCCATAAAAGGCTATTAGCCAGGGGATAAAATGGTGCCCTTGGCCTCTGTTTGTCAGAGGCTGGAGAGAGATGGCAGGAGACAAATCGCTTGATCATTGTCTTCGGTCCACCCTCTCTGGGGCACCTGGTGCTGGCCACTGTCGGTAGACAGGATACTGGGCTAGAAGGTCCTTGGTCTGACCCAGTACGGCCATTCTTATGTTCTTAGTTCATGGGTACTCTTTTGGCTCTATCGATCTGTTTTTTCACTTCTCCGGGTGGGTATTTCATTTTTAAGAATGCCCTATAAAGATCCTGTAGGTGTTTGTCCGTTTGTGGGATTGGAGCAAATCCAGTTGTATCTTAGTGCTTGGCTGTATACAATAGGTTGAGAAATGTATCTGGGATGGAAGCTAGAGGCATGAAGGTAAGTGTAGCAGTTGGTAGGTTTCCAGTATAAAGTGGTGGAAATTTGTCCATCATTTAATTGTACTGTAGTGTCAAGGAAGTGGATATCTCATGTGGATTAATCCAGGCTGAGGTTGATGGTGGGGTGGAAGTTGTTGAAATCCCTGTGAAATTCTTCAAGGGTCTCTTTCCTGTGGGTCCATATGATGACGATGTCATCAATGTAGTATAAATAGAGTAAGGGTGGAAAGGAGTGAGACCTGAGGAAACGTTGTTCAAGGTCAGCCATTAAATTGTTGGCATATTGTGGGGCTATGCAGGTGCCCGTGGCT